CGGGGTTATAAAATTCTCAAAAAGTGCTAGTCCACAAAAAATGAGCCTTTTTTAAGGGAGGATATCATTGAATGGCTTCTCCCGCCTGGGTGAGGTGGGAGAAGGGAGTGCCAGACTCTTACTGACTAAAAACCACCCCGTTCCTACTCCTACCTTTCGAGCCGGAGCTCCGGCAACCCGTTAAGTCCTCCGCGGCTCCGTATCGACATCAGCCCTATTGGGCTCCATCCGTGGTGGTCTGATGTCTCTTTGAAGCGCGGAACAAAAAATGAGACTACATAATAAACAAAAAAAAAAAAATAATTTACAAGCGAATCCATGATTCCATGAGTTGTATAACACAATCAAGTTGTATAAAACCGGTAATGAATAGTAATTGGGCAGCCATATTGAATTAACTGTCAGTTGTCAACGCGCGGTCCCACCGCGCATGCGTGATTGTAGTTGTGTGACCATATTTTGAACCAAAACGTAAGTAATTTTGTTTATTATTAATATTTTTAGATGTTTTAAATTAAATGTTTGTTGTTTTTTTATTATTGTCGTTTTTTATGATGTCTATAGAATTATTTTGTACGGTTTTCTTAGGTATTTTTTGTTATCACTTTGAAAGTGATTGTGACCTCTGAGTTTCGGTATTTCTTCTTCGAGTGGTTATAGATAGAAACTGTCTTATCTAGTTTATCTACTTTTTAACACGTTGAACGCCATGGGGGTCACCAGTGACCGGCGTTAGCGGAGGATTTACCTTCAACAGATTTTTATTGGCAGTCAAAGACTTAACCGATTTTAAACAATAGGATGTTCTTAATTGGACTTTTATAAAGGTTTGTTTATCTGCGACAATCTCACGATTAGGTGAACTGATTTTGATGCAATTAGCAAACTCGGAAATGTGTTTGTGACACTTTTTTAAGGGGGCAAATCATCGAATGACTTCTTCCGCCTAGGTGAGGCGGGAGGGAGTGTCAGACTCTTACTGACTAAAAACCACCGCGTTCCTACTCCTGCACTTCGAGCCGGAGCCCCGGTAACCCGTTAGGTTCTCCGCGACATAACTGTGTGATAGACCTGTCATGATTGTGTTCGTTTCGTATGTAACATAACATTACGCCTTTTATCCCCGAAGGGGTAGGCAGAGGTGTACATTTTGCCACTGTCCAATGTAACACCCACCAGTAACACCCGGCAGTTGCACTTGCTAGCACTCGGCATTAATTGGCAAATGTGATTGAAACATGATCTGCTAGCATTTCTGTCTACGCTTTAATAGAATAAAATGCTTTTCCACCCTTAAAAAAAATCACACAGTTAACAGTTATACATAGATTCTAGTTGAAATCGAAACGAAATAGTTTAAAACATTAAGTTTCAAGTTAACAATAATTATGTTTAGTAGTCGCTATCGCATCACTAAGGTCAAAGTTTACAAACGATACACAAACAGATTAATCTACATGTTATTATCTATTTAACTGAAATTCTTAATAACCAGGTCTTGGCTTATTTATAAATTAAATAATAAACAACAGCTTACACATAGGAACCACTTATATTCTGATGTGAAGCAACGCTTGCGTTGTGTTTCATTGTGTGAGTGAGGTTACCGGAGGCCCAATTATCCTCCCCTTCTCCAATCTTGATCCTCAAACTCCTAACCCCAAAAGGCCGGTAACGCACTTGTAACGCCTCTGGTGTTCCAGGTGTCCATGGGCGACGCCGGTTGCTTACCATCAGGTGATCCGTCTGCTCGTTTACCGGCTTATGCCATAAAAAATATATATATAAACAACAGCTCACATACATATAGGAACCACTTATTTTTTAGTCAAATTTCCGTGGTACTTGGCGACTGGGCTTCTCCCAGTAGTGTCTCAGTGCAATCTCTTTTTGCGCCTTTAGGCTTAAGCCATTCTGTCTCCTGCATTAATTCGCCGATGGAACTGGAAACTATCGTTTTTTTCTTCTCCTCTTATAATATCTTCTGATTGACTTCGTTGCGTGAAACAAAACAGTTATTCATGTCCCTGGGACGCGCCGGACTTCAGTGTCCCGGTGTTTTCATGGTTGTATCTACTGTAGATCCTGATGCATAGAAGTTGCAGCGGATGTGGAGGACTTGCGCCATTTACAAAAAAAAACTGAATAACAATCATCGTCGTTATATCAGCCATAAGGCGTACTTACATTGCTAAATGTAGGCCTCCCAAAGGAGTATCAGACTCTTAATTACAAAAATCCACTCCGTTCCTTCTCCTGCACTTCGAGCCGGAGCTTCGGCAACCCTGTTAAGTTCTCCGCGGCTCCGAATCGACATCAGCCCTATTGGGCCCCATCCGTGGTGGTCTGATGGCTCTTTATACAGCCTAGGTCGTCGCGGATCTCTCAGGGAAAAGTTTAGGGAGATCAATATTATGACCGTTCCATGTCAATTTATTTCTGAAAATATAAAACTTTTTTTTGTTGTTGACGTTCAATAGTGCCTTCCTGGTCTAATTGAAATAAATGATTTTGACTTTGACTTTGTGGCGCGCGTGGAACGCGACGCGCAGTAGCCCTGATTGCTTACAATCAGGTGATCCGTTTGCTCGTTTACCGGCAAAATACACGTTATGTTATTGTACGCGTTTCTGTTGAGATTCGTCATAGAAATGAAATCGGTTAGAAAAACATTGTTTATTCCATAGCTTGAATACTGACTCAGTTAACTGCTAACCTTGACCGATTGTGAGTAATAATAACAAGGAGGTAATAAGGAAATACGTCCGTCGACCTAAGGATTGCTACATATACACATACGTACCTACCCATGATGTAATTATATTGTGTACTAGCTGTGCCCGCGACTTCGTTCGCGTGGAATAGTGACTATGAGCAACGTTTTTTTTTAATATATACTTATTTTTATTACGGATCATAATCACAGTCATTTTGTATGTATAAGCATAGAATAGTGTTCGACGTGATTCTTTAATTTGACATAACTTTTTTATTTATGAACCGATTGACATGAAACAAACACTAAAGCATAACTGAAGCATACCACAATATATTCGTGAAAACAGCATCCAACTCGGATCAGCCGTTTCTGAGATTAGCGTGAACAGACAAACAGACAAACAGACAAAAAAAAAGTTAGTTACATTTTTGGGTTCGACATCGACATAACAATAACCCCTGCTATTTTTTTTATTTTTATTTTCAATGTACAGACAGCACTTTTCTACAATTTTATTATATGTATATATAGATATAGATATAGATATAGATATAGATATAGATAGATAGATAAGTATTTGTTTTCATTTACTTTATAACAGACACTGAGAAAATGCTAAGATTTTAGATATTTTTTTAAATAGGTGCAAAGTTCTTGCTCGTTCTTTCCCATGTGAATGCTTTCAATTCAATTCCATTTTTAGATTAATCTCGATGTATCCAGAAAAATAGTTAGTATTAGTTGACAACTAGTTAAAATCAATACGTTTATATTAAAAATGATACTGTTTTATGAATTTTGTGTATAATAATACCATCTTATGACGTCATCATATGTCGTGGTGGCCCAGAGGTTTAAAACGCCCGTTTCTCATCAATGAGGGTGCCGGTTCGAAACCTACCAACGGCTAGTACTAATGTGACTTTTTCAGAGTTATATGTACGTCGGTATAGACACAATTAAAGAACAATAGGTTGCGGTCACCGGTTTTTTGTTTTAACTATTTTATTTCTTTGTAAAACTATTGTATTACGGAGACAGGACCATTTTACTTCGGGGCGAAAATGAAATAGATTTCATGGTGTATACATATGTATATAGGTATATGTTCACAGTGAAACAGATGTTATATTATACGGACAAAAATTGTCTAAACAAATAAATATTTCCTTTGTATAATTTTGGTCTGGGTTTAACCTCGTACCAATCATGATTAAACGAATAATAAAGTTTAAGGAAAAAATTTACATAATGTAGTTGATCTTGTATGTAGATTTGAATCTATCTCTATTAAATTTATCTTTACCACGACGAAAACTTAATTTAAAACTTATCTTTAGGGTCATTAAAGACTATTATACCTTTTCAAATCGTCGCTCCAAGTCTGTACATATTGCCCGAGCGTACGGCGCGTCGCGTTCCGCGCGCGCCTCAAGGAGCCATCAGGCAACCATGGGGACCAACAGGGCTGATGCCGATACCGAGCCGCGGAAGACTTATCGGGTTGCCGGGGCTCCAGCTCGAAGTGCAAGAGTAGGAACGGGGTGGTTTTTAGTCAGTAAGAGTCTGACACTCCCTCCCGCCTCACCCGAGCGGGAGAAGTCGATGGATGATTTTCCTCCCTCAAAAAAAAGTCTGTACATATTGCCCAACCAGAACCAGATCGGTTTCGATTTTGAAAGGGGTAACTCATCCAATGACTTCTCTCGCCCGGGTGAGGCGTGAGAGAGTGTCAGACTGTTACTGACTAAAAACCTCCTCGTTCCTACTCCTGCATTTCCAGCCGGAGCCCCGGCAACCCATTAAGTCCTCCGCGGCTTCGTATCGGCATCAGCTCTATTGGGCCCCGGCTGTGGTACTCTGAGGCGCGCGCGGAACGCGACGTGCCATAAGCTCGGGTCTGGTTCTGGTCAGGCGGCGAGGCACCCGTACTTGCCTTCCGCAGGCCCGTGGTTAGGGTGGCCGGAGATCGTCTCGCGATCCCGGAAGCCCAGAGTGTCGTCGCTGGGGCGTGAAAAGGTTCGTTCCCTCATGCGCCTCGCCGCCTCCTTAGCTAGCATGACTGATTCGCAGAAGGAAGAGACGGCATTCCAGTCCTCCTCGCTCCATACCATAATCTGAACTAAAGCCAGATGCGAGAGATTTCCGTCGCCAGTCCCATCTCTGAGGACACGGTGGTGCTCAGCCCACGCAGGGCACACCGCCACCGTATGCTCCACCGTGTCCTCAGGATTGTGTTACCCTTAAGATCAAAATTAACACTTATGTATCTTGTTACAGCATGAAACTCCTCGCCATTTTACTGCTGACTGTAGCAGCAGTGTCTGCCATCCCCAGGAGTGCGACCAGACCACAGCCCGTCACCGCACACATCACCTCTCTCAGTGACAAGGTTGGTTAAATTACTGAATATACATTTTTAGTCTTATATTTTAACTCCGTAATCTCTGATTGATCCCCACATCGCCTGACTGTTGAGGTGATATTATCGGTAACCTGAAGCCCATTGCACTCAAAGGCAGGTTTACCATATTAATACTCAATTTATACTAATAAGAAATTGTAGTTTATTTTAAACTGACACATCATTTCAACAGCCTATATGTGCCCACTGCTGAGCAAAGCTCTCTTCTCACACGGATAAAGTCTGAGCATTAATTACAACGCTTTTTCAATGCGGGTTGGCGATTTTAAACTATTAGAAATTATAAAGTCCAGGTTTCCTCACGATGTTTTCCTTTACCGTTTGTCAGTGGTGTCTAAATAATCTTAGAAAGTACATACATAACATAAACATAACATCACGCCTTTTTATCCCCGAAGGGGTAGGCAGAGGTGCACATTTCGGCACTTAATGCCACTGTACAATGTAACACCCACTTTTCACTATTTATGTTATGAGTCCCATGTAATAGGTGGTGAGCCTATTGCCATATACCGGGCACAATTTTCCAGACTCCATGCTACTACTGAGATTTTTAAAAACCCAGTAATACTTTGCCCGACCCGGGAATCGAACCCGAGACCCCTTGCCCGGCAGTCGCACTTGCGACCACTCGGCCAATGAGGCAATACATATATACATATAACTCGGAAAAGGTCACATTGGTACTTGCTGTTGGTAGGAGCGAGGAACTCGACTAGTTTTCATCCTCGCTGGAGGCTAATACTCATGAGCGGCATTGAGCTGGACGCACAAACTAGAGTTACCAGTTTACCATACCAGAGTTACCATAAAATCATAATTATACCGCGCAATGTAGCTTATAAAAAATAAAATCAAAAATAAATTAACTAGGACAGATTGCGCAGCCAAAGCCACTAGTTTAAACTAGTATGATGTGTTACTAGTATATAAATAAGATTAATAAACCAGCTGGAAGCTAATCTAAATGTCTGTTTGTTTAGTAAACATGCCTGCTCCATGTCTTTGATGTGATCGTACCACGGGACGAGGAGAATTTTTTATTTATAGATGTAGGTAGTACAGTTCGTTGCAAAAGCATTATATCGTAACATCACGCCTTTTATCCCCGAAGAGGTAGTTAGAGGTGCACATTACCTGTTGAAATATCATCCCTTATGTTTATTTATACAAAAGTATTCTCTAAACATCGGAAACGACTGTCGCAACCGAGGGCTGGGCTCGCTGCCATTGCAGCGGTAAGTCCCCTCTTTGAGGAGTGGCTTGAGAGACGCTACGGCGTCCTCACCTACCGCCTGACGCAGGTCCTCACCGGACATGGAAGTTTCGGGAGGTACCTGGCGGGAGGAAACGCCCGGGTGTCATCACTGCGAGGACCGCCCTGAGGACACGGTGGAACACACAGTGGGAGAATGCCCTGCGTGGGCTGAACACCGCCGTGCCCTCAGGGAAGTGATCGGCGATGGCGACCTCTCGCGTCCGGGCCTAGTGCAGGCCACGATGCGGAGCGAGGGGGACTGGGATGCCGTCTCCTCCTTTTGCGAAGCAGTCATGCTAGCTAAGGAGGAGGCGGGACGCGCGAGGCAGCGAAGGGCTACCTCCTCGCAATCCAACCATCGTGAAGGACACACCGGGCGTCGGGGATCGCGGGACGCGGATCGCAAAGTAATACTGGGATTTTTCAAAAAATCTCAGTAGTACCACGTCGAGTCTGGAATTGTGCCCCATATATGGCCCGATAAAGGGCGTGATGTTATATTATGTTATATTATTAATTTGAAATATCGTGTGACGTCACAGCATGTCACATTTTGTAAGCACGTTATGACGTAACGATCTCCCACTTCTAAACTTAGCGCCATTTTATCTAAGTATTGCAATTTAATACGAGAAATAAAAAAATACGTGTCTAATGTTTTTTCATTATCTAACCGACGGACTAATTAGATTTTTAATTTTGATACCCTGGAAACTACCCAATTATTAGTTAATTCAGTATGTCTCACGATAGTTAATATAAAAACATAGTATTATTTTTGCTCTTGACTGTACAAGTGTACATAAACCATATGGCTATGGTATAGAAAAAATAGTCTAAATGGCAACCAATCAAATAAATAACAAGAATTAATCTTAGTTTAATTAGGTAACTGGCTTTTACTGTGGATTTCCTCTTGTAACTCACTTGAAGGGGTTTTTATGGCATAAGCCGGTAAACGAGGAGGCGGATCACCTGATGGTGAGCAATCGGCGCCGCCTATGAATGGAGATCTGAAACAACACAGGGGTTACAAGTGCGTTACCGGCCTTTTGGGGATTTGAGGATTGTGGGGTTTCGGGGATTGGGGAGACTGGCAAGGGGCGGTAATTGGGCCTCGTTAGTTGGTAATGCAAGCGTTGGTTCACGTCGGTTTTCTGTAAGGCCGTGGTACCACTCCTGGAAGCATGGCTCTCCCACACTTTTAGGGGTAGTAGTCGGCGGAGGTGCACATTACGGCACTTAATGCCACTGTACAATGTAGCACCCACGTTTCACTATTTATGTTATGTATGAGTCCCATGTAATAGGGAGTGAGCGTATTGCCATATACCGGGCACAATTCCAAAGTCCATGCTACGATTGAGAATTTTTAATAAAATCCAGTAATCAGAAACGAATCTGTGATTCTGGGTGTCTTCAAAGCCTGAGTGAATAGGTTGCTTGTGGACGACGTGCTCCATCGTAGACCGCATTATCGCTTACCACCAGGCGAGATAGTGGTCTAACGTCGGTCCATCAAACATACAAAAAAACTAGCGACCCGCCCCGGCTTCGCACGTTTGCAATATGCATGTATTATACATATATATAAACTTTCTAAGGAATCAATCTATCTATAAAAAACCGCATCAAAATGCGTTGTGTAGTTTTAAAGATCTAAGCGTACATAGATAGGGACAGACAGACGGCGGATAGCGACTTTGTTTTATACTATGTAGTGATAGACCCCTTGCCTGGCAGTCGACCACTCGGCGAACGAGGCATTAATAATATTTAGCAAGATATTATACTCCAGTGAAGTACTTTATCAAAGTAGTCTATTGATCCACTACAGTTAGCCATGACCTAGTTCGTCTATAAAGGTCACTGTGCCCCTCGGTGACGTAATATCTAATGGTTATCTTCCCTTTTATTGGTATTGAGAATGTCAGGCATAAAGTCAGTTGGAATACTTCCCAGGGCTGAATAAAGTTTTATTTATTATATCAATGAAAATGAGATTAAGATATGACGGTGTTCAATAATGTAAATGATGTACATACTTATCTGTCTGTATTGTGTATGTCCCCTCAACTATTTTCTACACCTCTGTATATATACAGTAAAATAGTTGATAATAATTATATGTTCACTAACCAAAGTATTTTGTCCTTTCAGCTACTAACAACTAAAAACTACCACAAAGTTAATTTCGACGGTTCATTAAACTGCCGTCACCACTGGACACTGGCAGTATAGGCAACAAGATCATTTTGGAGACTCTTTTGCCAAAGAGAGATAAAAAAAATAAAGTTTTATTTATTAATCGACTTCAATAACAGAAGGAGGATCTCTGTTTGACTTGTATATGTATGAATGACTGTTTGTATGTGATTAAATTGAGATTGGGTCAACAAATTTTGATGCGGTTTTCAGTAAAGTAGTTTATATGGTCCTCTCCATAACTGAGATATAAGACTTGGGGAGGCCTATGCCAAAGAGCAAGACAATGACGTAACCGGTGTCTAACACAAACATTAAAATTCATTATAAGTTGCATTTAAAAACGTTTATTAGTAATACATAGTTGAGTTGTAAAATTAAGATAAATGTAACTCTAAGATTGTTAATAAAGGCTTTTTATTATTATATATTACTAGCTTCCGCGGCTTCGCTCGCGTTACAAAAGTATAAAAAGTAGCCTATGTGACTGTGTAAAAAATCACGTTAATTAGTACCTCCGTTCTGCCGTTTAAGACAGGCAAACAAACAAATAGCTTTCCGCTCGCGTGGAATTCGGTTATATCGCGCTATTTAGATTTTTCCAATAAGTAGGTAATTCGTTGACTTGTTTTAAATGACATACAACGCCATCTATACCAGTACATACAGCGCCATCTGTACCAATACTTTTGTTTTCCCTCGGGAATATCAAATTTTTCCGGGATAAAAAGTACCCTATTATTTAATCCAGACTTCTAACTTTACGTCTGCAAAATTTCAAAGCAATCGGTCAAGTAGTTACGGCGTGAAGGCGGAACAAACAAACAAACAAACTCACTTTCCGATTTATAATATAAATAAGGATTATGTCTTTACCATTGACGAGACCACAGGGTCCAAGTCATTTGGGAGGCGTACGAGGGGCCGAAACCAACTGCGCAGAGGCCCTTTAGACAACTTTAATATAAATGTAATGGACACACAAATTATTATTATTAGTTTATATTGTTCCGGGTGGTTCCGGGTTTATTAAACTGTGTCAAATGTTTAGTTAGTTAGTCGAGTCTTATGATACTGGGAAAACGATTATCCTACTAGGAAAACAACCAAAAAAAAAGGTAGTTCCAAGTGGTCACCGGAGAGCGCTCTCCACTTACACCATTATAGACTTTATTGCCCATGTTTAAAGACTACTTTTTTACTCTCTTTTTTTTCTTTTTTTTTACCTAAAACGTTGCCTCACACTAGTTGCCTCACATATGTACATATACAGTAAAATAGTTGATAATAATTATACCTCTATGTTCACTAACCCAAGTGTTTTGTCCTTTCAGCTACTAACAACTAAAAACTACCACAAAGTTAATTTCGACGGTTCATTAAACTGCCGTCACCACTGGACACTGGCAGTATAGTCGACAAGATCATTTTGGGGACTCGTTTGCCAAAGAGAGAAAAAAAAGTGTTATTTATTGATCGACTTCAATAACAGAAGGAGGATCTCTGTTTGACTTGTATATGTATGAATGAATGACTGTTTGTATGTGATTTAATTGAGATTGGGTCAACCAATTTTGATGCGGTTTTCAGTAAAGTAGTTTATATTATGGTCCTCTCCATAACTGACATATAAGACTTGGGGAGGCCTATGCCAAAGGGCAAGACAATCACGTAACCAGTGTCTAATACAAACACATTAAAATTCATTATAAGTTGCATTTGAAAACGTTTATTAGTAATACATAGTTGAGTTGTAAAATGAAGATGTAACTCTAAGATTGTTAATAAAGGCTTTTTATTATTATATATTACTAGCTTCCGCGGCTTCGCTCGCGTTACAAAAGGATAAAAAGTAGCCTATGTGACATATACCAATACACACAGCGCCATCTATACCAAATACTTTTGTTTTCCCTCGGGAATATCAAATTTTTCCGGGATAAAAAGTACCCTATTATTTAATCCAGACTCCTAACTTTACCTTTGCAAAATTTCAAAGCAATCGGTCTAATAGTTACAGCGTGAAGGCGTAACAAACAAACTCACTTTCCGATTTATAATGTAAGTAAGGATTATGTCTTTACCATTGACGAGACCACAGGGTCCCGGTCATTTGGGAGGCGTACGAGGGGCCGAAGCCAACTGCGCAGAGGCCCTTTTTAGGCAACTTTAATATAAATGTAATGGCCACAAAATTATTATTATTAGTTTATATGGTTCCGGGTGGTTCCGGGTTAATCAAACTGTGTCAAATATTTAGTTCGTTAGTCGGCTCTTATGATACTGGGAAAACGACTATCCAACTAGGAAAATAACCACCAAAAAAAAAGGTAGTTCCAAGTGGTCACCGGAGACCGCTCTCCACTTACACCATTATAGATTTTATTGCCCATGTTTAAAGATTACTTCTTTTTCTCTCCTTTTTTTCTTTTTTTTTACCTAAAACGTTGCCTTACATTAGGATTTTCTCCTGTGTCGTGGGTGCGTTTACAAACATACAAGTTCACTTACACATGACACCCAGACTCGGAACAACAATTTGTGGATCACACAAAGAGTTGCTCCGTGAGGAAATCAAACCCGCGACACGTTGCGTGGCAGCCGATACCCAGCCACCGCCCGATTCGGAGTCGCGGAGAACCTAACGGGTAACCGGGGCTCCGGCTGGACGTGCAGGAGAAGGAACGGGGTGGTTTTTAGTCAGTAAGAGTCTGACACACCCTTCCGCCTCACCCAGGCGGAAACAGTCATTCGATGATTTTCCCCCCTTAAATAAAAACCCAGCCACCGCACTAACCGTGTTGTCAACTTATGAATGAACAAATGTTGTGGATTTTTCATAATCGGACATTTAAATGAAATGAAGAATTTAAATACTTAATTCTTAATTTTTTTATTTAACAGGATGCTAGGAGCAAGGCGAGAGTACATCCAGCTTTTGCTAACGCCGGTCGTGTAGCTGGTGTTGAAGTGTGGAGAATTCAAGTAAGTTTAATAATAATTACTAATTAAGGTTTAACGCCATCTATCCGCGAGTAGCAAAACGAAATAATGCAGATATAAGTATTTTTAAAATTAGTTATAAAAAGTTGTTTAATGATTATAATAAATAAGAATTTGGGACGAAAGTGCAGCATGTTTTTATTAAATAAAGCAAACTTTAAAATGTCTTACTATTTTTTTCCACTCTTACAGGATTTCGATCCCGTCGCAGTTTCTGCGGCTGACTTCGGAAAGTTCTACAAAGGAGACTCTTACATAGTTTTGAGGGTAAGCAGGTTCATAAGTTCTTATAGACTATCATTCACGCGGTGGACAGACGACCCGATAATGGTCGTAAGTCACTTTTACCGACCAATGTGGATATAATAGGGTACGCCTATGTGATAATAATATATGAGGCAGTGTAGTGGCCGTCTTATGACTGATATGATGATAAAGAAGCTATCGGGACTAAGCCCAAATGTACTTCAATTAATTGAAATTCAAATTCTTTTCCTCCAATCAGACTACAGCAGACAAGCGTAACAACTTATCCTGGAACATTTACTACTGGATCGGCAGCGAATCAACCCAAGACGAGTCTGGAGCCGCCGCCATATTGACAGTTGGCCTTGATGACAAATTCAACGGTGCTGCTATCCAACACAGGGAAGTTTTAGGACAAGAGAGTCAAGACTTCAAAGCATTGTTCCCTTCGGGTACGTAGCGACATCTGTTGGTGGGGTATTCAGAAGTTAGTTACTGTAAAAGTTCTGGTGGCTGAAGGTAGATGGCGGTATTTATATTAATTTGTAAACGGTTCATATTCCTAGGATTATGATTTACTTAAGCTATCAATTGTTACGAGCGACGCTTCTGATATTGTAGACGAAAACGAACATGTAGGTTACCTTAAATGGCAATTAGGTACTATTTCCTGGATTGTTCTTAACAAAGAGCATTAATTGAGTCTATTTTTAGCATGAGTCTATGAAGCTATGACGGCATCCGATACACTATACACGTAGGGCAATTGATTAAAGAGGATAATTATCGATAATTGAAGCTAAACGCGATCCAATTAGAACAAGTGAGTAATTGCTTCCCTTGAGACTTAGGTACACACGCGTATAAAAATATTGCATGACGTCATCGATCTGAAAGAATTTATAAAAAAATAACTCAATCAAATTGGATAAAAATATTTGTTCGTTATTACGACAACGCACCTCGGGAAATAGCACCACGGTGAATTTCAGACGCGTCACTAGTCTCTAGTTATAGTAGCGGGACCAGGCATCGAAGGACAGCAGAAATTGCTCTCTTACGACCTCCTAAATTGGTCCGAGGACAGCGGATTTGGGGAAGTCTCCTCCACCGCACTTTAAAGGGCCCAAGAGGGTGGCGTGCGTTGTTTTCACGCGCGCCTCCGAGACGTGGCCCGGAGATCAACACCTAACTCCTTTGTGCATCTTAAGGTGGGGTCTGGTAAGGCCACCACGAGTTTGGGGGCCGTTGAAGAATATGACTCCCGCACCCTCATCGCCACGTGTAAGACGTGACACCGGGGTGGGTTTTAGTCAGTAAGAGTCTGACAATCGCTTTCGTCGCTTAATCTTAATCGCTTAATTCATTCTGTCTCCTGCAGGAATTCACCGAGGGAAATGAAAACTATAGTTTTTTCTTCTTCTCCTCTTATAATATCTTCTGATTCACTTCGTTGCGGGAACCAAGATAGTTATTTATGTTCCTGGGACGCGCCGGACTTCAGTGTTCCGGTGTTTTCATGGTTGTATCTACTGTAGTTCCTGGCTTCTACAGGAGTTGCAGCGGTTTCGGGAGGTTGTGGTGGGCTTGTCCCATTAAAAATCGCTTTTGTCCTCCCCAGGCTGAGGGGGCTCCACGGCGATTTCTTACCTTAGGGGTCAAAAAAGGGCCGCTAGTATCTTACAAAGTAACTGCGCAAAAGCGATGATGTAGCATACGTCCACTTATGCCTACAATTTCCCGAGCGTATGGCGCGTCGTTTACCGCGCGCTCCTTAAAGAGCCATCATACCACTACGAATTGTCGCGGAAAACCTAACGGGTAACCGGGGCTTCGGCTCGAAGTGCAGGAGTAGGAATGGAGTGGTTTTTAGTCAGTAAGAGTATGACACTCCCTCTCGCCTCACCCAGGCGGAAAAGTCATTCGATGATATTCCCCCCTTAAAAAAATGCCTACAATTTCAGGGTTCAAAAGGTGTTAAGAGTTTTATGCTAGGGTATTTAATTTTAATGTCGGTACTTTCTGCTCACAGGCTTGCAGTATTTGAGCGGTGGTCATGCATCAGGATTCAACCATGTTGTCACAAACGCTGGCGCTGAGAAGAGACTCATTCAAGTTAAAGGCAAAAGAAATATTCGTACTCGACAGGTAAGTTACTTTAACTTAAACTAAATATTTAAGGTTTTATTATAAGTTAGCTGAGACTAGCTGTTGCCCGCGACTTCGTCCGCGTAGAATGTGATTTTTTTTTTGTTTCGATATTTTCTGTTGCTCATTGGCGGAGTTCATAAAGGTAACGACTGATGTTGTTAGTTGGTCATATGTAGTTGATGTGCAATTAATATGTATGGCTGTGTTATATAACAATGTAGTTATATAACATGTAGAAAGGATGGATGAAAGTAGAGTAACGAAAGAAGTATACAGAGCGGATATGAATGGGGCCGTCGGTAGCGCCCTAGACGGACATACGTGACCAGATTGGCGATATATTAATGAAGGGCCAAATTAAAAGTACCCTTAACCGACGAGCATGCATGAAAAGATTGATGACTGTTAATGAAGCGAAAGAGGTATGTAAGAATTGTAGTAAATGGCGTTCCTTAGTCTCTGCTATACCCCCATGGTAGACAGGCGTGAAGTTATGTATGTATTTATGTATATTAAGTGACAACATTATCGCATTGGGTGTAACCTGTGTGTTGATTTAGATAAATAAATAAAATAAATATTTCTAACTTTACAGGTAGATCCTCTGATCTCCTCAATGAACAAAGGAGATTGTTTCATCCTAGATATTGGCAATGAAGTCTACCTCTACGTCGGAGAGAGCACCAGGAACATGGAGAAACTGAAGGCAATCTCCGTAGCCAACCAGATCAGAGACCAGGACCATAACGGAAGAGCAAGATTGGAAATTATTGGTAAGTTATTTAGCAAAAAGTTTTCTGTAATAACTGCCTCTATAAAAATAGTGATTATTTTTATTATAACTGAGATATTAAAACATAAGAAAATGAAAAAACATAAACATACATAACATCACGCCTTTTATCCCCGAAGGGGTAGGCAGAGGTGCACATTACAGCACTTAATGCCACTGTACAATGTAACACCCACTTTTCAGTATTTACGTGATGACCCTACAACCGTTATAGTGATGTTCCGTGTCGATAAAATCCTATCGATGTTTATGATTGTAGGAAAAGTTAACATTTTTTAGGAACTCGTTTATTCATTGACTACCATGTACGATTGATTAATAACATAACATAACATAACATCACGCCTTTTTATCCCCGAAGGGGTAGGCAGAGGTGCACATTATACCACTGTACAATGTAACACCCACTTTTCACTATATGTTATGAGTCCCATGTAATAGGGGGTGAGCCTATTGCCATATACCGGGCACATTTCCAGACTCCGTGCTACTACTGAGGTTTTTACAAACCCAGTAATACTTTGCCCGACCCGGGAATCGAACCCGAGACCCCTTGCCCGGCAGTTGCACTTGCGACCACTCGGCCAATGAGGCAGTCCACTCAGCCAAAAAGGAAAAAATAAATGAATATATACAACTTAAGATACACTATAACTAAAAGATAAAAATTAAATAAAAGAAATCTAAAAATAAGCATTTACAGAGAGCATCAAAAAATTCGTCCGCGTTAACGTCATTAGTGAAAGTACCCAGAAGGCTGGCAGCATTACCACGTTATAATAATACTAGCTTTTACCCGCGGCTTCGCTCGCGTCACAAAAGGATGAAAAGTAGCCTATGTGACATATACCAATACACACAGCTATACCAATACTTTTGTTTTCCCTCGGGAATATCAAATATTTCTGGGATAAAAAGTACCCTATTATTGAATCCGGACTTCTAACTTTACGTCTGCAAAAATTCAAAGCAATCGGTTTAGTAGTTACGACGTGATAGCGGAACAAACAAACAAACTCACTTTCTGATTTATACTATTAATAATAAGGACTAGTAAGGATGGCAATGCTTAACCTCTGACCGAGAAAAATACCAGGGTGCTAACTCTTGAATCCAATTCCGATCGATCGACATTGGTATTGTGAAATTTCGTACTCTTGACTTGCAACACTAGCGTCCATTGCATCCGTATTGCGTGGATATTGAATGAACTAAATGGTATTGAGTTTGGCGTTATATTCCGTACTCTGAATGCTACTTTAACAGCTACGATAAGGGTTGTACAGTTTTGACATTGAATAATTAGTGAGTTTTTATTGGATTTAAATTGTATTGACATTGAAATGGGTTTCAAGAGTAAACACCCTGCCCTCTGGTCACGAGATACGTCGACCAGGCCTTTCGAAATACCCTACGGACCTGGCGTCTCAACCCCAAACGGCTCAAAGAAATAACTGTATATTGTATGTATACTAAACTAGCTTCTGCCCGCGACTTTGTACGCGCAATCCCCATATTTCCCGTTCCCGTCCTTGATTTTCGGTAAAAAGTAAAAAAAAAGAATTGGGTAAAAAGTATCCTATATCCCCACCAATTTTCATCCAAATCGATTTAGCCATTCTTGAGTTATAAATAATGTAACTAACACGACTTTCTTTTATATATATATATAAATTTAATAACTGTAGTGACTTCTTCGTTGGCCGAGTGGTCTTAAGTGCGACTGTCGAGCAAGGGGTCTCGAGTTCGTTTCCCGGATCGGTCAAAGTATTTACTGGGTTTATAAAGATAAAATTCTCAGTATTAGCACGGAGTTTAGAATTGTGTCCGGTATATGTATTTATAGCAACATTTTTTGTTTTACAGACCAATACTCCAACGATGTGGACACCCAGAAATTCTTCACAGCACTCGGATCAGGAGCTAAGGACTTGGTGCCAGAAGCAAGCGCTGGTGGAGACGACCAGGTTAGCATTGACTTTAGCACATTAAGCTACACCATGCTTTTAAATGACTTAACCCATAAAATATATCCCCAAGCGATCACCGGTGACTGCTCTCCACTAACTGCATTATAGACCTTATTTCCAATGTTTAGAGACTACTTTTGTATGATCAAATTTGTGGGAAGGATTAAGAAAACAATATAGTACATAATATTGTATGGTGCTGGCAGAATAGATGAAACACAAACGCCTTTAATTTATTTTAATTAGCCTTTTTCCTGGGAAGATTAAAAAAAAATCCGCAAGGGGCAGCACCGGTGGGGGGGTACATATGTTTTGAATTCTCTATTGTTTTGAACACTCCGTTAAGGGTGCGTCCGAGCAAAGACAATAAGTACCGTATGTCTCATCGCCGTGAGGCATGCGCCCAAACCTAACTATTAACCCTCGTGTTACATAGGTAGTTTACATTATCGGCACAAAATCATTAGAAAGCTTTGGTAGCCAATTTTTTTTTTAGGTTACGACCACTTATAATTCAGCACGCTAAGGCTTGACTACTTAACCGGACAAACCCTGCAGTGGCCACTAACAAGAAGTCAAGGGTTTTTTTGTGTCAAAGCAAACAACCTAATGTTTTGCCGGTAACGAAACCATAGCTTGCTTTTAAATCGGACAACGCCATCTATCGAGCTATGGGACAACACAATAAATAATAGTACGGCGTTGGTCGAGTGCATCATATAGAAAGATTATTTCTACACTGAACAAATAGTCTGTCAGTCTGTCCTTCAGTGAAGTTAGGTGCTCGTTCCAAAAATTTAATTTAATTTCTGTTTTGTTGATCTACAGTTTCTTGCTCGTTCTTAGTTAACAAAACAGATCAAAAGAAACAATAAAAAAACTAAATATCTAGTGCTGCTTAAAAAATTTGAGGCTTAAGCACCTCTTTGCCGAGTTCACACTAGTTGTAAACGGATCGAAGTCATATTCTTTACAAACATTGTTAAAGTGTCTGCTTGCACGGATAATGTAACTGTTCTGCCTGTAGTTAGATGAGGAACGGGATACGTGTAAAGGTGGATTAAATTTAAATATTGTAACGCGGCAATTCGGTTTTGGTTTGTGTCGGACGCACGCACGCAACTCTAGTGACAACACGCCACCTCACAATTCTTCTTCCCCCGCTTCCCCCGCCACTGATCGCTCGACGCTTGCGTGAGAGCAGAGAACAACGAGTCCTGCGTCGGAGCCGTGACGCACGCACTCCGTATTTGTGCCGCGAAATATTTGAGTTTTACCCCATTGTATTATTGTGCAACTTTGTTTATACAGTTTAAAGTTTATTTCCAATATACAGTCGTTCGTGTGTCGAACTTTATTTCACGCCCTGAGAACCCACCAAGAAGACATCATCTAAGTATATTAAAATATTTTATTATTAACTTTTACTATTTTCTTTTCTGTACCCAGGCTTTTGAGCGCAATGAAGAGCAGTCAATCGTTCTTTCAGAAGTATCTGATTCTACTGGCAAAGTGAAGGTCACAGCTCTCTCCAAGCCGTACAGACAGGAACAATTGAAACCACAGGTAAATATATACGTTCATTATAAATCCAGCCAAGCTTCGGCACGAATGGGCCGGCTCAACCGGAGTGATACCACGGCCGAGCAGAAAATCGACGGGAAACAACGCTTGCTTTATGTTTCGTGTGAGTTAGGTTACCGGAGGTCCAATTACCCCTTCCTTTTCCCAATCTCCCCAATCCCTGAATCCTTATTAATCTTCAAATTCTTAATCCCCATAAGGCCGGTAACGCATTTGTAACACCTCTGGTGTTCCAGGCGTCCATGGGCGACGGCAATTGCTTACCATCAGGTGATCCGTGTGCTCGGTTACCGGCTTATACCATAAAAAAATTTACGATTCAGTTAATTGACTCATGGACGTATCTTGTATAAACTTGACATCGTCATGATAGATTAATAATATATGTTTGCCTGCCTTGTTGGCCGAGTGGTTGCAAGTGCAACTGCCGGGTAAGGAGTCTCGGGTTCAATTCTCGGGTAGGGCAAAAAAAATCTCAGTGGTAGCATGCAGTCTGGAATTGCGCCAGGTATATGGCAATTGGCTCACCCCCTATCACATGGGACTCATGACATAAATAGTAAAAAGTGGGTGTTATATTGTACAGTGGCATTAAGTGCCGTAATGTACACCTTTGCCTAGAAGGCGTTGATGTTATCTTGTGTTTTGTTTTTTCAGGACGCCTATATTTTGGACACAGTTACTGGAAGTATCTACGTTTGGACTGGCAGACAAGCGACTGAGAGGGTAAGGTGTTTTTCTATAATTATACACATAATATGTAATACCTTTAAAAATGTTCATCAACAGCCTATAAATGCCCACTGCTGAGCAAAGCCTCTTCTCACACGGAGAAGGTTTGAGCATTAATCACCACGCTTGCTCAATGCGGGTTGGCGATTACAAACTTATAATTAGAAATTATAAGTCCAGGTTTCCTCACGATGTTTTCCTTCACCGTTTGTCAGTGGTGTCTAGATAATCTTAGAAAGTACATATAACTCGGTAAAAGTCACATTGGTACTTGCAGTTGGTAGGTTTCGAAACCGACCCTCGTACATGAGAAGCGGGCGTCTTAAACCTCCGTGCCACCACGAAGGCCCATATTAAAATACAATAATAGTGTTATTAGAAAACTTGAAACTCGCATAGAGTTTACTCTTTGATATTAGAAACTTATTGGTTTTAAAACACATTGGATTTAAGAAACTCAGAAAGCAGGAAAAATAAACAGTACCACCATTACAATGCACCTTATATTGTTAACAATCGAAATCATATTACAAAATCACGACTATGTAAATCATAACTATTAATTATTGGAAAGAAAAACAACAACAACACATAAATAGGCAAATTGACTTCCAAATAGAATAAAATTCCCTTAACACCAAATTCACAACAACTTTCGAGTTCCCGCCATCTTGACATTTTCATTTTTTCGAACCACAGATTACATTTTCCCGCTACGCGATGACGTTTCGTTTTTTTTTGTCTATGCTTCTAACAATATATTAATTAACGGACTTCCAAAGACGGGGTTAAAGTCGGCTTTTTTAAACGTAGTTTGTAATTATTTTAAAATGATAAATTTCGTGTAATCGGTAGTGTTTTTCTATTTCGTAAAAATCTTAATTATATAATGTTACATATTGTTGTTCACAGGAAAAGACTGAAGCCATGACTAAAGCCCAACAGCTGTTGTCTTCAAAGAATTACGCATCTTGGGTAAGCAGTATAAAATTAATTCCTCGTTCATTGGTCGAGTGGTTGCAAGTGCTGACTGACGGGCAAGGGGTCTCTGGTTAGATTTCCTGGTTGGGCAAAGTATTACTAAGTTTTAAAAGAAATCTCATTGGAGTAGCATGGAGTCTGGATTGTGCACTGTATAAAAAAAATGGAATTATCTGTGAACAAACTTCTTAAACTGTCAAACACCAAGCGGTCACCGGTGACCGCGACCTATTGTTCTTTAATTGTGTCTATAAAACCGGTACTCGACGAGTTAAAACCGCGTTAAATCCATCCACGCGGCCAGGCGCGTAGGTATACCGCCTTAACGTGAGGTGCACCATTCCGAAATCCTCTTTACCGTCGCCGCTCTCCGCGGCGACTGTAAAGAGGATTTCATGTGTCATGTTCTAATCGCCCACTTAGTCTCACGAGAAAATTCTCATATATTCAATGATTCATTTTATTTCACAGGTCAAAGTAGTAAAGATTCCCCAGGGTACTGAGCCAGCGATCTTCAAACAATACTTCGCCACCTGGAGAGACCTCGGCATGTCACACACAAGAATAGTATAATTTGTTAATTGACAAATGAAATAAAACATACCAAAACCAACACTTATTTAAAATCAGCATATTATTAAAGTAATTTAAATATATTAATTTATGCATGTAGTTCAATCATAAATGCAATTTTTACATAGCTTTGCCACCCTTCCACAGGGATCCAAACGAATTTTTTAATATGAATATAAATAAATAAACTAAAACAATAGAAATAATTATAGAAAAGGATTAAAATGGTACGGAAAACCGCATGGCCTTATTGCTTGCATAACTTTTAATTATTTGTAGTACACCGCCATCTATTGTAATATATGGGAACTAAAGTTTCATATAAGATAAGGTGCTGCCATCTAGTGATGAATATAGTAATATTATGCTGATTTTGTACGACAAACAACAAATAAAAATATGATTTTAATAAAAATGAATACTCATACATAATATACAATATTTACAAATGAAATCTTTTGTTTTATTTAACCTTCCTTCCTACTTAATTCACGTTTAATTACGTACGCTAACTAATTTACGTGAGCCTCTAGTAGTAGTGAAAAATGGGTGCCATTCGTCAGTTACGTCGACGCTTCATCGCAACGGAACCACGTATGGTACGCCCCACTTGGGTTTTTTTCTAAGGGTAGGAATCATCGAATGACTGCTCCCGCCTGGGTGAGGCGGAAGGGAGTGTCAGACTCTTATTGACTAAAAAACCACCCCGTTCCTTCTCCTGCACGTCAGCCGGAGCCCCGGTAACCCGTTAGGTTCTCCGCGACGCCCAACTAGGGTTGCGACGAGACGACGTACAACATAGAAGTTGCATCTCATATACATACACACGCAACACGACGACTGTTCGTCGATGCAGTGCATCACTCTCCCTCCCGCTTCATCTCTTGTCCGTCGAACCGTAGAAACGTCGCTTGCGATGCAACGGTGTATACCCAGTATACCAGCCGGAGTCGCGGAGAACCTAACGGGTAACCGGGGCTCCGGCTCGACATGCAGGAGAAGGAACGGTGTGGTTTTTAGTCAGTAAGAGTCTGACACTCCCTCCCGCCTCACCTAGGCGGGAGCAGTCATTCGATGATATTCCCCGCTTAAAAAAAATCCTATACCAGCGGCTGTAGCCAAACGCCACTTTAGCGCTTGTCTACATGTAGAATAGAAAACCAAATTATATGGAATTGACGTAAATTTTGACACTTGCTAGTGTCATCCCCATACATTTAGTTTTCTACTCTCTCGGTAGACAAGCGATAAAGTGGCGTTTGGCTAAAGGCCTGTGGCTGTCCAAATTATATACCCTCGAGTTGTGCCAATCTAACAACTACAAAAAAAAAAAAAATTTGGAACCATATAAACAAATCATCCATTCCCGATACTTTTTTGACTGAATGTATATAATAAAATCGTAGGAAAGTGAAAACTGTACTGTTGAAGTGGTGGATGTGGTTGAATAATAGATAATAGCTTGTTATATTTCGTAGTTTTATTAAAAATCTCACAGAAAGCACATGATGGGCGCCATGCAGACGACAAAAGGGAAGAATACAGATAATATATCGACGTCTATGAGAAACTTGCCAACTTAACACTAGATGGCGCTACTTATATTATTTAACTTAAGATTATAATATTTACCTTATTACAACACACATAACATAACATAACATCACGCCTTTTATCCTCGAAGGGGTAGGCAGAGGTGCACATTATGCCACTGTACAATGTAACACCCACTTTTCACTATTTATGTTATGAGTCCCATGTAATAGGGGGTGAGCCTATTGCCATATACCGGGCACAATTCCAGACTCCGTGCTACTACTGAGAATTTTTTTAAAACCCAGTAATACTTTGCCCGACCCGGGAATCGAACCCGAGACCCCTTGCCCGGTAGTCGCACTTGCGACCACTCGGCCAACGAGGCAGGCAGTATTACAACACACCTCCTTAAATTTATAATCTTAACATTTTATCTTACATGAACAGTATTTTAAAGTTATAACAGTTTTAATATTTTACTTAAACAGTACTTTAAAGTAATAATCTGAACTCTTAACTAAATTAATCTTAATTCAAACCTGTTTTTCAAAAATTTTGATTTATCTAGACTCTTAGTCAACATATCTGCTAAGTTACATTTTGTATCAATTTTAATTATATCAATAAGTTTGTTTTCATAATTCTCGTTTATATAATGATATTGCACTTCAATGTGCTTTGAATTTTTAGTAAAGTTACCATACTTAGCTATTGCAATTGCACCTGAGTTATCTTCATACAATTTTATTGGATAACAAAAGTTTATATCAAATGACTCACTTAACAAATTTCTTATAAAAAGTACTTCAGTTACTGCCTCTGACAATGCAATATACTCTGCAAAAGTTGAACATTTAGTTACTGTATTTTGTTTACGTGTTTTCCAAAATATTAAATTTCCAAAAAATCTTATAATAAAACCTGTTGTAGACTTCCTATCCACATTATCCCCTGCATAGTCTGAATCAACCATACAGTCTAAAATATCAGCATCTGCATTATCATAATATGTTAACTTTAGATTCTTAGTTTTATACAAATATTTTAACACCCTCATTGCATATTTGTAATGTGTTCGGTTATAACAACTTTGATATCTACTCAAATAATTAACGCTGTACGCTACATCTGGTCTTGTGCCTGTACTAATATACAATAATTCACCTATTATATTTCTGTACTTAATACTTTCATCGACCTCACTAGCTTGCTCTAATTTTAAATTTGTTTCCATAGGAGTATCATATAACTTAGTATTTACCAAATTATACTTTGCAGCCAAAGATTCAATATACTTTGTTTGACTTAATGTCATCACATTTTTATCATCATTATACTCAATATCTATGCCAATATAGCTTTTAATTTTCCCCAAGTCTTTCATTGCAAATCGTTTCATTAAACTTGTTTTCACCTCTTTTATTTTATTTTTATCTTTACAACATATTAAAAGATCATCAACAAATATTAATATGTATATTGGATCTTTGCTTGCTTTTTTAACATACAAACAGTAATCATAACTACTTCTAACAAAATTCAAAGTTTTTATAAATATATCAAAACAATCATACCACACTCTAGGACTTTCTTTGAGACCATAGAGAGCTTTTTGCAATTTGTAAACTTTATTATCTCCTGTTTTATAACCTTCTGGTTGATTTACATAAACTTCTGACTTTACATAACCATTTAAAAAGGCTGTTTCAACATCCATTTGCTCTACAAATAATTTATTTTTACAACTGTATGACAATAAAATTTTCAAAGTTTGCATTTTTCCAACAGGTGAGTAAGCATTTTCATTAAAATCTTTTTGCTGAAACCCTCTCACAACCAATCTAGCTTTATATTCATTATTACTTTTCTTTTTAAAAACCCATTTAACATCAATTACCTTTTTATCTTTTGGTTTTTCTACAATTTGCCAAGTATTATTTTTATTTAAACTATTTATTTCAGAATCCATGGCTATTTGCCATTGCTTACTATCATTGGAGTTCATCGCCTCCTCGAATGAATTTGGTACATTTGCATCAATATGGTTAACATAAATAAAGTGTGTAACTGGATTACCATATCTAGAAACTGGGATTCTCTTTCTTTTCTGTGATTCTACTAAAACGTCATTTTCTCTATTATTATTTACGTTACTACTAGAATAAGTCTCATCTGCATCTACAAAGTTTTCATCGGTTTCATATTCATTTTTAACCTCTTCATTTGAAACATCTAAAGTATTATCACTTTCCAAATCTTTATTATTTTGATTGTCTACTTTTTCCAAACAAATTAACTGAGTATTTTCTTCAATTACCTGTACATGCCTTGCATTAATTATTCTGTTATTTAACAAAACTCTGTAACTATTTTCATTATAACCCACTAAAATTCCTAGTTGAGCTTTATCATCCCATTTACTTTTTCTTAACACTTCAGGAACTCTAACATAGACTCTACTTCCATAAATTTTTAAATGCTCTACATTTGGTTTGACCCCAAAAAATATCTCATAAGGAGTTTTATTTTCAACTGTATTTGCAATAGTACGATTCTTTAAATAAGCTGCTGTTTTTATTACTTCAGGCCAGTACCTCCTATGTATTTTAGCTTCTCTCATTAAACATCTACCTATATCCATAGCAGACCTATTATACCTCTCCGCTACTCCGTTTAACTCATGAACATAAGGTGGACATGGTAACAACTCTATGCCCTTATACCTTATAAAATTATAAATATCCTTATTTAAATACTCTCTACCATTGTCACACTGAATCTTCTTGACTCTTTTTTAAATTTATTTTCTACTAAATTTATAAACTCTATAAAACACTTTGCAGTTTCAGCTTTACTTTTAATACAAAATATCCTGGTACACTTACTATAATCATCAATAAAGGTTAAAAAATATTTTTCTCCACCATAACCAGTTGTGTTATGTGGCCCATTCAAATCAGTATGAATAAGTTCTAAAATCTCAGTAGTTTTTGTTCTATTATTTTCAAAAGGTACATTAGTCATTTTACTCTGAATACAATTTGAACATTTCATTTCTGTGCTTTCAATTTTATCTGGCAAACCATCAACTAATTTATTATTTATTATCTTATTTAAGTATTGAAAATTCACATGACCAAGTGCCCTATGCCATTTTTCTTTCTGCGTTAACTTTACAGAATTTGTGCATACTTCATTTTTTAAGACATAACCTTTTAAGCAATACAAATTATTAATTTTATCAGCAACAACTATCAACTCTCTAGACTCATTATATATTTTAGCACTTTCATTTTTAGCTACTATTGTACAACTATTAGTTACCTTTGAAAAACTTAATAAATTTTGTTTTATTCCTTCGACATAATAGACATTTTCTAAATCTACATACTTCACACTATAATAGTTTTTGAAATACATTTTTACAGTACCTACTTTGGTTGCTTTCAAGGTTTTTCCATCTG